CAAACAACAACAGAATTTTTCCAGTATCCTCTTCTTAAAAATGACAATTCAAGAAATAATTTACAAGGAACAGGGCAATTAAATAATGGATGAAACTGTAATGGTATTTCTTCAAAAATGTTTACAACATCTACTTCTTAGTTATACTTTTTGCAATCCTTCAAAACTCACTATAAAATAGTTTGAGAAAATTGTATTCATTAATTTCAATGTAATAATTTATCTAACACCTACCATCCAGATTGTTCATGTTTGCAGTTGAGTCCATACTTATAAGCTCCAGAAGCAAAAAATTAATTATTTTATCATTCTAAATTATGGATTGTCATGATGCAGCTACTAATTTATTCTATGGACTTTTGCTGGAATTTTTGTAGTAGAATAAATAATATAAATGATAATTTGCTTTTATTTAATTTACAGAGTAGGTGATGAGCAATAATTATTATGAAATGCAATGCAATGCAATGCAATGCAATTACTTTCATTACAAAAGTAAGCATGTCAGATGAATACAAATTCTGATACTGTAATCTCATGCAACTTGCTGTTCCTCAAGACTAAATTGTACAATACACTTTTTGGTATATATTACAGCAGGCTGTGAAATATTGGAGTTTTTTTAATAGCACATTTTCATTTTCCATGGGGAAGATTTTCTCCTTTACAGATGTTACACCAGAACATCAAAACCAAATGCTTCACTTGAGAAGCCATGATCTAAAATCCTGCTGAAGTAACCAAGCAGTACAATCTGAACCTCACTGCTTTTGCTCAGAGTACTTACTTAAATCAACAGAGATGCACTGATGTCTAAGCAACGAGATTCACTGCTCCCATCAACTGAAGAAGTGACCACAAGGAGTACAATCCTATGCATGTCTATTCAGAAGTAAATCCTACTGCGTAAGATTGCATTGCACAATGAACTGCAGCCTAAGTGTTCAAGAATGTGCAGCATTTCCAACAAATGTCTTGATGTCTGTGTACTGCAGTGTGCAAAATATGATAGGTAGCTGTCCCGTTGCTGTGGCCCCTCTTTGGTTTTAAAAAAATGAGGACACAGTTTGATAACCAGGTTTTTAGTCAGAGATTAAACCATAGTTTTAATACAACAAGAAAATTGGTTTAAATTGTAATTTAGCAAACCTAAATGACTATTCTATTATGACATGTCTATTATGACACAAATGAGAAAGAGGATGATGGCGAGCATGGGAACAATGCTCATTTATTGAACCCACTGCTTATTGGCCTGAGATAATACCTGAAGAGTTAGCACATTAATGTTATCCATGTATGTGATGCTACCTGTCCTTTCTTTCTTTTTTATTTAAATAGTTTCTATTACTTTCTATTTCCCAATAGTTTCATTTTCCCTTTTTATTTGTTTGTTCACTCTGAATACTAAACAATGAGCACAATATTTAAACAGATTAACATGTGCAGGCAAAGAAGGCTCGTTCTTCCTGTTCTCTTTCTCTCTCTCTGGAAAAGGTATCAGCCAATCTTTCTTTGTGTGCGTGGAAGAAATCTTGCACTAGCTGGATCCAAGCCAGAATATAGCCAATACTTTTCCAAACCAAATACTAGCTGCACCTTGAAGGGCCTCAGATGATCAATCAAGATCAACATTCCATATTCACACTTAATCTAACTTCAATGCAGTTGCTGCTGCATTTGCTCTGTCCTGCTCAGCCCTTGGCAATGTTATCCCAAGGGCATAGGAAGATTTAAGGACATCACTGGACAATTTACCACTATAAAAAGACACTAAGAAACTGTTTTATAAGAATGCATGCAATGATGAGAGATCAAATTATGTGATGCTAAGATACCTGAAAGTCACCATGGCAAATCTTCTAACCACAGCTAAAATTATCACAGCAAGTATATAGAAAAAATCCATCACCACCTAAAGATAGAGAATTGTTGGCTATACTTTGGGGAAATGCAGAAACAGATACTGGCTATCAAAAGTTTAGCAAAGGAAATGAAGATTTATGACAGAGCCTCATTAACTGTTTCTTTCAACAGATGCATTTCTGAACTCTAGAGCAGTGATTTTCAACCTTTTTTGGGCAAAGGCACACTTGTTTCATGAAAAAAAACACAAGGCACTCCACCATTAGAAAATGTTAAAAAATTTAACTCTGTGCCTATATTGACTATATATAAAGTAATTCTCTTGAATAGGAATCAATTAAACACAAAGAAAGTATTTTATAATTACTTTATTATGAAATAGTAAGTAAACAGAAATATGAAAAATTATAAAATACTTTATTCAGTGCGCAACCTGGGCCTGTTTGGCTGAACACAAAGCTGATATTCTGGCTGGAATCGAAGAAAGACACACACGTAGCTCTTTGTCAACAGCTCTCAGTCTCTCTCTGTATTTAGTTTTTATAGCAATCATGCTTGAAAAGCTCATCTCACACAGATATGTAGTGGAAAATGGGAGCAATGTCAAAATAGCTTAGTTTGCCCGAAGGTGGAACTCCTTGGCAGTATCCAACCAAACACTGTCCAAAGGTAGATCAGCAAATCTTAGCTTGAAACCACGATTTTGTCTCAGTTCAGTTAGTTCCTCCTGCTCCTGTAAAGTCATGTCCTTTCCACCAACTGATGCTGAGCTATAAGGGTCCCTAACCCAGTCAAGGCATTCAGTGGAGACTGAAGAGAAATAAAATGACAACTTCTCCGGTCCTCCTGGTGACTCGAGTCGCGACGTCTTCTTCTCTCCGCTGCTGCGCACACTGTGCTCGGGCGGGAAGGAAGTCGGAAGATGATGTCCTACTGTGATAGGTCCAGGCTGGAGTCTGGACCAATCACAGCCCGGACATCAGAAAAGTGGAGGGTGTCCCCCTGAGGAGCGCCAATCGGCGCCCCTGCTGGCCGATGGTGGGGTCAAAAACCCCACCCCCCCATACCCAGGACACAGTCCGGCGCCTGCCTAGTGGGTGAAAATTTGAATTTTTTTTTAAAAAAAATCTTTCGAATTTTTCAATTTTTCCCACGGCACACCAGGCAACATCTCGTGGCACACTAGTGTGCCACGGAACAGTGGTTGAAAAACACTGCTCTAGAGAATGTGAATATCTGCCACACACGTAACCTCCTATTAGGGAAATGAATGGCCGGTGTAAGAGTGAATGTTTCTTAAAAAAAAAACCCACAGGAGTGTATAATAACTAGCCATCAATTCACAGGTACAGTATTATCAGGGCTGCTACTACACAATGTAATGTGAAGAATGTGAAAAATCCATGCAAAAGGCCTAACAACATTGTTGTACCTCCAACTCTCTGGATCTGACTATAGCAATCCTACCTGGGAGCAAATACCCTTTTCTTTTCCTAACAGCCGTTAAGCAGTTTTTCAGCTGTTGGTTGCAATTTGGGCTAACCAGGGTTTTCCTTAAGGCAGGAACTGAAACCATGAGTTGAAACGGCTTTTAGATCCTAAGTTAAGGAAAACTCCAATTAGCTTTAATTGCAGTTAACGTTTTTGTGCTGGCAAATAAATTAATTGGAGGCCTACTACTGGGGGCTATGTTTGAAAACAGTACTAAAGAAGGTGAAATGAGGGAGTAAAAACATGCTCTTCACTGAACAGAAGGCAAGTTAGTTGCGTCTTTTGATGGGATTGTCATTAACTGTTCTCAGAGCAGCCTGTGTATTCCTTTCCTGGGTCTTTTTGATCTGACTCTCTTTAATGATTCTATCTCTTTCTCTTGTTTTTGTTGCATCTGTCCCAGGCTTGGCCAATGAAGAAAGAAACCGAACAAAGCAGCTGCTGTGTATAAAAGCACTTCTGAAAGGGAAAGCACCAGATCATTTTAAAAGGGGGAAACTGCTTGATCAACTATATTCCTTCCCTCTGAAAGCATGAAAATCATATTTTGTATCAAATTGCAACATTCTTTCTTCTCAGTGTGTTTTCAACACAAGATCCCAGTTATACTATGCATTTTAAATAGTATCAAACCACTTTATATAGTTATGATTTCCCTCAAATAATCCTGGGAAGTGTTGTTTGTTAAGGGGTTCTGAGAGTTGTTAGGAGAGAGCCATTTCCACTCACCGAGCTACAATTTCCATAGGGTTTAACTTTTAAACCTTCTCTTCTTAGGGAATGCTGGGAAATGTGGCTCTGTGAGGGGAATAGGGGCCTCCTAAAAACTTTCAGGACCCTTAACAAATTTCAGTTCCCATGAGTCTCTGGAGGAAGCCATGGCTGTCCAAAGTGATGCAATACTGCTGTACATGTATGGTGAAGATGGGGCCATAACTGAGATCATAGAATCGTAGAGTTGGACTCAAGGGTCATCTAGTCCAACCCCCTGCAATGCAGGAATCTCAGCTAAAGCATCTATGACAGATGGCCATCCAACCTCTGATTAAAAACCTCCAAGGAAGGAGAGTCCACCACCTCTTGTGGTAGTCTCTTCCACAGCCAAACAGCTCTTCCTGTTAGGTTTTTCTGTATGTTTAGTCGGAATCTTCTTTCTTGTAATTTGAAGCCATTGGTTCGAGTCCTACCCTCCAGAGCAGAAGAAAACAAGCTTGTTCCCTCTTCCATGTGATAGCCCCTGATGGCTATGGTGTGTTTTTAAAGGAATTGTTAAAGAATTGCAGGACAACATAAATAATAGTTTGGTTTTAAATAATCTGAGGGACAGAATTTGAGATCAAAATGTTCTCCCTAGTCTACAGACTTGATTTTAAGATAATAATGTGAAATTATAAAAATTAAACACACAACACAGTGCATGGAGGAGGGGCCATGTCCTTGAACATAGTTGCAATCCTGTGTTCTCTCAGTTAGAAAATGTCCCAGTCAATTGAGCTTTCTTTTGAGTTCAAGACGCCTAGGTTTGGGCTCTAGGTGTGAAATGGTTGAAATGAAATACTGTTGAAAGGTAACTTGAGGTTATCATAAAATCATCAAGGGTCATCTAGTCCAACTCCCTGCAGTGCAGGAATTCTGCCCACAACCATCCCCGGGTGGGCTTGAACCACCAACCTTCTGGTTAACAGCAAGGTGCACTGACCCATTGTGCCACTGAATAATTTCTAAGCGTTAGGGTTCTATAGGCATACTCTTATAGGCAGCACCAAGAAAAGCTGATGGTGGGAAGTGATAGAATGAAAGGTGTAATGATTCCAGAGGTAAATCCACATCATTAAAATCTCAGTGGCCCTGTTCAATCAATATGGCAGCAGTGAAGCAATTAACTAGCTTGAGTTGTTGAGTTTTTTTTGGCGAGGCATGCCGAGAATCACTCACCAGACTGACAAACGCTGCCAATCGCACGTGTCACAGAAGCTCTTCCCGCTCACCAGCAGCAGCCGACAAGCGCACACCCAATTGATGCAGCAGCAGCCAATCCACAGCAGCCCTTGCCGCAGCCACCAATCACCCACCCAATCACCGTTGACAAGCTCCTGCTTGTGGCTGCAACCAATCGCCCGTCCCCCCTCTGCACTATCCATGTATAAGATGAGCCCCAATTTTGAACATTATTTTACAGTAAAAAAATCTTGTCTTATACATGGAAAAGTATGGTAACTTTGAGAGATTCAAATGCTACATTGCAGCACAACGTCTGTCAATATTTCAGCATACTTTCCAACACCGCTTTGCTTCTCTGGTGATATACATTCATGACATTCACATTGTTGTGATCTTTTAATAAATTGCACCCTTCCCTCCCTAGAATGGGGTATTATAGCAAGCCTTTAGTTGTACTTTTAAAGAACCTATTTAGGCAAAGCCGCACATAATATTTCCTATTTGAGTGCTTGGCACAAAGGCTTACAAGAGGACTGATAGGAAGAATGAAGATCAAAAAGTGGGAAATTGGGATTGTCTTGGTAAAAATATACTTGCCTTTTTTACAATTGCATTTAATTAACACTGATTAAACAAGAAGACTTGTAAGGTGAGAGAGTGTAACCACACATCCACATTATACAAAGGTGTTGATGATATGGGTGAAATGTGCTCCCTCCCCCCTTCCACTGCACATATTACAAGCCTTAAAATGCTATGGAATTCAACTACATTTCAACATCGTATTTAGATTCCACCAAATAGTAACAGAATATGTCCATCATCAGAGACTATTTTTTAAAAAACATAGTACTTCTGATACTTCTTTTGCTTTGTTTATTATTTGAAAAGTTTATGACTCCGCAAAGGGATACAAAGTGACTTATACTTCATACAATAATTAAAGATACACACCAACCAATTGTTACAGATGGACAGCCTACACAAATAGCAAAAGTAGAGCCAGGGTGGTATAGTGGTTAGAGTATTGGACTCTAACCACTATAGCAGAAGACCAAGAAGACAGCAGTTCATATCCCCACTTGGCCATGAAACTCTCTGGGTGATCTTAGAAGTCATAGTCTCTCTGTCTAACATACCTCACAGGGTTGTTGTAGAAATTAAATATGGCGGGGAAAACCATGAATGCCACCCTGAGCTCCTTGGAGGAAAGATGTTTGGCAAGGTAGTTAGTTTAGCTGCACTGAATGTGCTACCTTTGAAGAAAACACTGAAAATCTCCAGCAGAGCTGGGGGGAATGCACACGCACACACAAACACACATTCAGGGAAAAATAATATGATTCAGGAATAATGCAGTTGCAAGTGATTGCAAAAAACCAGAAATGCAAATATGTATTAACACAAGATAAACACAGAATATGATCTATGTATGTATGTTTCTTTTCTCTTTCATTCTGTAGCAGCGGATGCAAAGAAAATATGAGCAAGCATGCTGGTTCCATTTAATAGTGATACACAAACCTTATCATTAAAATGGCCTCAAGAGTGTGACGTGACTATAATTTTGTCCATGAATCATGGAAGTGCTCACAGGAGTTTAGGAGTCCAAGACAAAAGCCCTGCTGCCCATTCTAAACACCCTTCAACACTTGTCGTTCAGCTTACAGATGCTAATCAACTTCTACCCTGTGGTCTTGTTCCTTCAAACACATTTAAAATGCACTTTGTATAGTAGGAAGCATATAATTCATTACAGCAGGGACAAATTATCGTGACCTAGTGGCTGACACTGCGGAAGGGCAGTCCCTACGTTGGCTTTAGCATTAGCCTTTATTGGCAAACACTGGAAACTCTTGAGGAAGAGAAACCTACATTTTTCTTTTATCTATTCTGAAGGAAGATAATTCCCAAAGCACATTACAAAGCTTCTATCTGCCTCCCCTTTAAATAGATTCTGTTCATTTTGGGTTTTTGTGTACCTAAAGCCTCTTTGAGCGAACACTGCAGGCAGGCTCTGCTTCTGTGCTTCTCGTTTATTTGTGTAACATTTGTTCATTTCTTTTAATAAAAATGGCATATCAGGTAATGCACTTAATTTACCTATTCAACCTGAAACTGCAGGATGGAAAGAAAATCTATGGATATGGCTCTGTAGGGTAGCAACAGTCGCTTTGGGCTGCAAATGCTAAAAATATCTTTCTCCCTGTAGCAACTCAGGTATGAAAGATTCAGACCGTTCATAATAACGGCAATTAAAAGCACCTAATGGGATGGAAATTCTCCTTCTTTTCCATTGCTAAATTCATTTTATATGACAGACTCTGCAGTCATTTTTAAACACACACAAAGCACACCGTTTCTTTAGATTTGTTTGGGTCCTAACCATTTTAATGGCTAAAGGCAGATGACCAGTTAATCGTGGCTAAGTTATGTCAAAATATTATATATTTGAATCAATATAACCCCAGACCAACTATTCTGTTTTGAAGATGTATTTTGCAATCCTTATTTACAAGTTGATTAATAGATCTGTATCTGTATCTTTCTTTCTGAAGCCTTTGGTTAGATATTAGCCCTAGGTCATGGGAGATCTGGGAAGGGCCGTAGGTTGGTAGAAGAGTACATACTGTACTTTGCATGCATAAGAGCTCTGATTCAGTCCTCTGAATCTGTAGTTAAAAGGATCTCAGGTAGCATAGTTGGCTTTTCTCTGCCTCAGGCCTCAGAGAACTTTTGCTAGACAGAGCAAACAGTGCTTGTTTATGGATAGAATGAAGGCCTGACTCACATACCAGCCAACTGTCCTGGAAAAAACAGGACATCCGGTTTTTTCTTGAGAGAGGACAACTTTAGGGCCATACTCTTGCCCCCCCCCAAATGCTTTTATTGGGGCAGCGATCTTGCGCAGTGCCCCAAAAGATGCATTTTGGGACACCATGCCCCCCAAAGTGTTTTTTGCGGGGGGGTGTTGTTACGTGACTTGCGTGGGAATGCTGGAAGATGGTGCCCCAGTTTTGGGCCACTTCTTATTGGAGAGTATGGACTCAGTGTAAGCTTCATACAGGCTTATGCCAGAACAAAGTCAGTAGCGGACATTTGTGAGCAGCCATGCTAATATCAAGGAGAATCACATTTTTTCCTGTATTCAGATGGCAATATATTTTTGCAGGAAAGATGAATTCCCCCACCTCTCTTTTGTGTCTCTCTGGGATGGCACCATTGCAAGAATGTCTTCCAGCTAAGGAACAGGGTGGAGTGCTACTTCTGGCAATGGTGCTGTACCAGAGGAACAAGAGATACTTTTCCAAGGCAAGAAGAGTTGTCTGGTTTTGAAAGAGGGCTGGTGGGACACTAGAAGCAGCTTTATAAGCTAAATCCAGGCTACAGAAATGCTTCTATGCAAGAGAGAGACAGAGACAATGACAGAGACAGAGCACATAAGAAGAAGAGAAGAAGAGTTTGGATTTGATATCCCGCCTTTCACTCCCCTTCAGGAGTCTCAAAGCGGCTAACATTCTCCTTTCCCTTCCTCCCCCACAACAAACACTCTGTGAGGTGAGTGGGGCTGAGAGACTTCAGAGAAGTGTGACTGGCCCAAGGTCACCCAGCAGCTGCATGTGGAGGAGCGGAGACGCGAACCCGGTTAGCCAGATTACGAGACTACCGCTCTTAACCACTACACCACACTGGCTGGAAAGACACCGCTACACTACACCACACTGGAGTGAAAGATCAGGTACTATAAAAAACAATACATTATACAGAGCAGTTGCCTCTCTGGGAATCAACACACTTGCACATTTGTGCAAAGCTACGGTTTGGCTCAGTGTGCTATCCGAACCTAGACAAAGTATATCTGTCTTCATATCTGTGTTTTTTTAAACCCCCCCCCCCCAAAAAATAGCCACAATCTGTATGTGTGTGCTTTAAAAAACCCAACTAGGCTATCAGGAGTGATAATTTCAAGTGACATGAAAAAGGCTATGTACCCACTGCCAGGATTTAAAAATTGTGCTCAATCCTTTTTTAAAATAACAACAACAACCTTTATCTCCCCTAGAGTGAAAAAGACTAGATTCTGAATATTTACTGCTGAGTCTTTAGACATATAATTCATCACCTCAAAAGAAACCACACATAAGCCAGGCTAAGAGAGCTTGAGGGGATCGTAGACAAACACAAAGGGAAACAGGAGCCTCAGGACACCTTTCTCCTTCCATTATTTATCTCTGCTTGTCTTATCTCTTTATTAGTAGCTTAAAGCCAGAATAGAAATCTGAAGTGTCAGAATAATATAAGTTTTTATAGAGTAATGGAGGTATATATTTGTTGACAGCAGGGCATGAATCTTGAAAAGTAGGGTATCGTGAATTCAATATTTCACTGGTGCTTTTCAGGAAAACACATAGATATGTACAGTATTTGGTATGAAAGACAGTATAAAATCATATGTATTCATAGCAATGTAGTGTTATAGAAATGTCTCAGATGTCACCGTCTCCAAAGCAGTAACTGCTGCTGGGCTTCATGCATTTAGTGAAAATACTGCTCTGAGAGAATTTGGATTTAGTGATGATTGATTATGCCCTTGATTCTACTAGCTGTTGGTGTCTCTCTTGTATTCCTGCCTCCTCTTTTAAACTTCCAATTCTTTAAATTTATATTTTTAATGGAATAATTCATATCATGGTGAACCTCCTCTTTGGGACTTCTTGATAATAATCAGAAAGTTGGAGTGTAAGTCAGAATTATTACTTGCATATAGCTAATATATGTGTGTGTAAATTATCATTGGCTAAGGAGATGAGAGGCAGGAAGTTCCTGTTTCAACTTTTACCTCTTCCATGAATATCTGGCACTTCTACACTCACAATTAGATTTTCTAGATCAGCATTCCAAACTTGGGAGTCCCCAGATGTTGTTGGATCCCAACTCGAATCACCATGGCCAATGCTGAGTGATGATGGGAGTTAGTCCAAAATATCTGGATGGCTATTCTTGGGTACTTAACCATGCATGAGAAAGGCTAAGTGCTTGCTGCATGAAACAGCTGTGTGTCATACTATTATTATTTTTGATGACCATATTATTATTTCCCCATATTTATTGAAAAGTTATTCAGCATTAATTATTGGTTTATTTTCACAACAGCCATAAATATCCCAATTTAACAATTGTGGGGATTGAATAAGAGAAAACATAGGCAAGATGTCCTAAAAAATCCATGTCCAAGGAGGGATCAGAACTCATGTCTTCTCAAACCATACTCATATGCTCCATCTTAGCTGTAGAATTCTGCAGTGGTTACTAATCAAGGGGTTTCTTCACTTGCTGCAAGCTTTTTACAAGCCAAAAAAAGTGGGTGCAGGTTGCTTGTTCATGCTTACTGTACACACCACTGGGATATTTATTTTTCTTCTAACATGTATTTCTTATTTTCTAACCCTCCATCTCTCTAAGAATTCAAGATTATAAGAACGACACGTGCAGCCCTTCTATTTAGTGGCAGATTAGCCAAGTGACCTAAGGAAGGGAACAAAGTGCGAAGCTCCTTCCCGCAGAATCTTCTTACATCTCAGTTAACTAACACTGGGATATTTACTTTGACATTAGGACCCCTCTTATGAAGTTTTCCCCTTAATTGTATGGGGAAATGCCCTCAAAATGTAACTGAGTCACTCAGCAGTTTGTACTATCTCCAAGTCAAATGATATCTCAGCGATTCTTCAAGTGTTCTTATCAGGATTTATAAGCTAAAAAATGAAAGCTTACATGAATGCAGCTTTCAGCCCCCCATCCCCTGTCCAACAGGGAACTGTCCCCCAATAAATGTCAGGGTCTGGGCAGAGGAGGGATAGTGGAGACCGCATTCCCAGCCTGACCCTTCCAGAGAAGAAGAAGACAGTTCAGAATTACAACAGGGGTTTGAGGGAGGTCACAGCTCAGAGGCAGATGAAGGGAAAAGTTGGGAAATAATGGGAGAGGAGGAGGAGAAAGAGGAAGCACCTGGGAGGGGAGGACAGCTGATGGACACAGTGTCTTTAGAAAGCATTTCAGACCCCTGCTCCCAGAACCCAGCAAGCATTGAAAGTAGCAGAGCAAAGAGCTCAAAGGCAGAGGTCACTTGTCAGCGCCCGTAGGGATGACGAGTGAGGAAGTGGGAGAGACGGAGGTGGGGGTGGAGATGCACTTGGGACAATGCCATTATCTAAGAGGCTGGGTTCCAAAGCCTCTCTCTGTAAATACGGAGTAAAAAGCGGATGGTAAGAAACATTTCCTTGTCTTTGTACGTTCCTGGGCAACTGGCCGTGGGAGTTGCTGGCATCCCCCTGACAATATAGTAGCAGCCTAAGATCGTAAGAACAGCCTGTTGGATCAGGCCAAAAGCCCATTGAATCCAACACCCTGTTCTCACAGTGGCCAACTAGACAGTGCCATAGCTAGGGGCAGGGGGATGGCTAGACTTTTTTTTGCCCCGAGTGAATACAGAGTGAGAGGGACCAAATAAATAAAAATGAATAAAAGAACTAAAAATGCAATCAAAAACATACAGCATCTAGCGCACTTGGTACAAGGGGCAGAATTTTTTTAAGTGGTTTTCCAAGACCCTCAGCAATTTTCAAGGGGTCCATGGGAAATAAATATTTTGAGAACCACTGCTTTGGCAGGGGGGAAAAGGCATAGGAGAAATGAGACCCAGTCATTTCACAAATGACTTGTCCCTTTCCCATTTATTGAATGGGAGCTTTTAAATTTCAGCTGTGAATTTTCCAGATGTGATTTCAAGAGGGAAACTCTTACACTCAGATTGCCTTCTGTTAAAACAAAAACAAAAAAAACCCTGCCATCACTCAACCATTATACCAAGGATGCTGCAGAGCAGAACCCAAAGCCAAAGTGAGTCACATTTTGCAGTCACATGACAGCATGGAAGGGCATAGCTCAGTGATAGAGCATCTGCTTTCCTTGCAGAAGGTTCCAGGTTCAATTTTCAGCACCTCTGGTTTCCTGATGCCCCTGTCTCTTCGTGTAGACAATTCTGAGCTAGATGCACCCGTGGCCTGACTCAGTATAAGGCAGCTTCCTGTGCGTAATTATCTGAGACAATGTTTACATGAATAAAGGCAAGCAGCATCAGGTGCCTCCATAGGAGGTTGTTAATAAGAACATGTTGTACTTCTGTGCAGTTTTATATTCTTCCACTTTATTACTGTAGTAGCGTTTCTTAAGTTTTCCCAAGCAGGAGAATGGTTCTCAATGGCGCTCCTCCCACCCCAGGTGTTCAGTGAATTATAAGTCTATTTTAATACCCTCCTGTATTTACTTGAAAATACACAGTATTTGAGTATGAGTTCAATAGATTGAAGTTGTATTGGTCCGTTCTATATGGCATTCTAAAGAACATTTCCCCAGACCAGTAGTTACTTTTGGACTCAGATGAAATTCCTAACACGTCACCCATTTCACCAGCCACTTCAATGGAGGGGCTATTCTCTTACCACTCGCTTAACTCTCACTGGTAGAGGAACTCTGTATGAACTCTTGTTCTAGCCTTATATTATGGACACTCCATGGCCCAGTGTTACTGACATGCCATAAAACCCTAATCTCCCTTTCTCTTTTACCACTAAAGAACTTGTAGAAAACTGAAATAATAAATAATGATTTGGATAAAGACTATTTAGCTGCATTGAAATCAAAGGGCTGTAGTCAACTAACTTTTACTCACAGTAGACCCATTAAAATCGATACAGTAAGCTAAAGTTAGTTCTGACTATTAATTTTAATGGGTCTACTTCAGGTAAAACTTAGTTGAACGAAACCTAATGTGAATAGTTAGTCATGACTCATTTAGGTCTCCTTGAGTTCAGTTGGATCCAAGGTGACTTCATCTGGAGCCAACTTGACAAAACAAAAGACTTAAAAACACTTATTTGCCAAAGGAATAACCAGACACTTAATGGCTGTGGTTCATAAGTCCAATGGTGCCTAAAATAAAGATTTTTCTTGACCAATAAGTGGCTATATAAATTAAAAGTTGGGCCCATCTATACAGAATAGCAATTTTACAGCAATAAGAAATGATAATATATACTTTAAAGTACCTGAATGTGTAATTTACAATGAAAGATACAAACCTTTCATTTAATGACCTTTCCTTCTTTCCTTATAACTCAGTAATAATGAACTGCTGGAATCTAACTCAGTGTATGGGGTCAAGTCCTCGAGGGCATTAAGGATTGCCTGCTGAGCATCCTTAAATATCATTAGAATCAAAGCCAGCCATCACTGAAGTCAAAGCCACATATCAGGATGCAGACTGCAAATTGGCTCGATTTTTGCCAATTTATTTTTCTGATGACTGCATAGAACAGTTTTAAAAGTTTGATTTTCCACGGTCTCACCCAATCTGATGTTGGAATGCAAATTAATCATAAAAGCCAGATCACAATTATGTCACATTCAGCAGGGGAACCATAGAACAGCTCCAGCTCCAGGTTGCTCAAGGAAATGAGTCAAACCAAATAATATGGTTGTTCATTTCAATTTATTATTACATTTAGACTCCACCTTTCCCCCCAAGGAAGTCAAGGGGGCATGCATGGTTCTCCCTCTCCTCATTTTATTCTCAGAACAACGCTGTGGGTTGGGCTGAGTTAAGGGATGAAGACTGGCCCAAGGTCACTCAGTTGAGTTTCATGACTGAGTGGGGATTTGCACCCTGATCTCCTAGGTCACTGACTTTTATGCCACACTGGCTCTCCCTATCTCTATAAAGAGAGCCAATAACTTTCTTAACACTGGGATGTGTGGGGAGATCTGTCCACATCATACATAATCAAGGCTTATGTTCTTCCAGCTAGTCAATGTCAGAAGATGGTTATAGCCCTTTGTGGCTTCTTTAATTCCTAGTATTATGGAATTCTAACATTGCAGGTGTATAGGAAGTTAGAAGAAGAACTATATGTCTGCATGAGCTGCAACAAACCTGTTTATTGTGATGAAACTTTGTTGGAAGCTAATTATAGCTGTCACGGGTAGTACTTTGATTCAAGACCATGGTCTCGATCTGCCATCTCTCTCCTCTGAATCGAACTTGCACTGGCAGATTGTATCAGTCAGAGAGAAGTGGCAATAAAAAGATGTCTCCCAAACCACGCCCAACTATTATGCCACAGAAATGAAAATATTGAGGATCCATTCCAGATCTTTCTCAAAAGTCAGATTTGAGGCTATACATTATTCAAGAACACTGGCTGAATAACAATGTCGCTGTGTGGCCGCATGCCCCAAATTCTGGAAAACCACCCCAGCAAGCATGCCATTATAAATGGTAAGTACTGAAAAGGCCCCTAGTCACAAAAAAATTATATGTGTTTGTGGGCAGGGGGAGGAAATTCAGGATCTTTCAGGTTTATTGCTTCCATGACAAACACAAAAGTTACTCATTTGTTATGTACTGAACACACATGATCCCTTGAGGTTGCATTGTTTTGTGCTGAGTCATTTCCTGAGCATTCCTACCCCATCTGCATCAGTCAGAAAAAGCAATTTCCAGCTAGTGGCAGAAAGCATACGGTTATTCTGACTCAACAAAACCAGCATTATCTTTACACTCACATCTGAAGAGGGTGTGGTTATGGGGCAATTAGGCAACTGAAGGAAAGGGCTTCTAACAAGTTGATTCTAACAGAAAAGCTGCATTGGGAACCACAGTAAATATTAACAGACTTGACAGAGGTCATTTAAAGTAATCACTACAAGTATTATGAAGAATCAATATTTCAGTAGTGCACACTACTTGTCATTGATTTAAGAGAACGTCCTACTTTATCTTGGACTTGATGTTTTTCCAATCAAGCTTTAAGCATACTGCAAAGCCTAGGATGTTTTTAAAAGTAACGAATAAGCCAGATCATAAATATATGATTTTAAATAATTCAATTGCAACTGTATCAATTTTCCATTGCAATCTACTCTTAATTTTTATTATACATTGACAGATTTGCTAATCACTGGTTTGAGAACATAGTCTGCAGTACAGCCTCTAGTCCAGTCCCAAAGGACAAGTTTATCCAAAAATATATTACTGGGATGACATTAGCATATAAAGATGTGTCATTCTGTCCTCTCCCTGAATGGGAAGAAAAACAAACTCTCTGTTAAATATTTGACTGACAGGCACAAGTATCTCTCATCCCTTGACTATCTCTAACTGATGAGGAAGCAGCAAAACTTCATTTTAATTTTAATTGTAAATAGAGAGCAGTTCTGATTTACACACACACACACACACACACACACACACACACACACTATCCTGGGATATCAACCCCCCCACCCCCAAGAGCTATAATTCTCAGCAACATTAGCAAACTACAGTTTCCAGGATTCCTTAGGTGACGTCATGTGCTTTAAATCTATGGTATGGATGCACACAAAGTATTTCTTCACACATAGTTAACTTATGGTATTTGCTGATGCACAGCATGGTGATAGACACTAAGGAGGTTTAAGAGTGGGGGGGGGGAATCGTGGAAGGTAGGGCTAGCAATCAATTCCTCCTACTCCTGATGGCTATATGCTACATCCAGGATCCGGTAACAACATGATTCTGAAGCACCAGTCACTATGGGAATGCTGTGCTTGGTAGGCCTTTGGTCTTATCCAACAGTGTTTCCTGAGAGAGCAACCATGCCACTCAAAAGAGAAAATCTCCCCTTTTTATAGAAACTACTGTAGAGAACTAGTATATTAAAATTGCTGCGGTAGCCTTATTAATCCGATGAAATTCCCCAGTCAGTTTAATAAGATAGGAGGCTTATTTATACGCATCCATTATTCCATCTAGTCATAATCATTCCCATTAATCTATGCATGCTGTAATTTATTTATTTATGTAATTTGTATACCACCCTTCATCCAAAGATCTCTGGGCAGTTTGCAGGATAAAAATACAAAATAAAACACAAAATAACTTCTGCGCTGTTGGTGTCAATTTAGGATACAAAGATAACAGGAAAATGCATTACAGAATTCACTGCCAATGTAATTTCAATCATTCATTACCTTAATAAACTAATAAGTGCAACTGACCTGGAAAAAAGCTGTGGGCTATAAAATAACAATGGCACAACATAACTAGAGTAGGAGGAATGGCAGGCAATAGCAAGTAAACATAACTAATACGGCAATCCTATACACACTTACCTCAGGTAACTTCTGTGTAAATTTGCATAGACTCACACTGTAAGTAACAAAATAACATGGAGAAGTATCTTACAGCAGTGTTGGCTCAAGTAATTCTTCAGCCCAATACCATGAATAAGTGCTGCTGTTCAATAACTTTCCATATGATTGCTTTCAGCTCAATCCTATGCATGGTGACTTTGAGTTAAGCTCAACTGAATTCAATATGATGGCTGCTGGAAATTGCAGACCTGGCTTCCAAATATGGCCCTCGTGGCCTTTCTCTCTGGCCCTTGGACCACACACCTCACCATCCTGGCTCCATGCTCTCACTTGGCTGCAATCTAGCCAAGTGTACCAAGGTAAGCATCTCACCAGTGGCTCCTCCCACCTCTACCTCTGACCGTGCCCACCACTGACATGTGGCCCTCAGGAGATTATTAATGATGGAATGTAGCCCTTGGGCTGTAAAAGGGTTAGCCACCACTGCAACATCCTTTATTCGCCTGGGGCAAGTGTGCACATGTACAAGGGAGTTATGGACCACGGAATTTAATGGGATTTACTTCTAAGTAACTATGCCCAGGATTATGTTGTAAGTTACATTTCATGATAACCAAGCCCACGATGCTCCATGTGGACTGATGCATGGTGGTGGGCAGTGCTCCCTCACTATTCCAGCCTGTTTGAGGCACTTCCAACTCTCACCCCTCATAAAAACTCATATCCCATGACAAAACTGCTACTTCTATAAGAGAAGTCTTTGTAGAGTTCAATTTTGGGCTTTTGTCCTAAAACATGGGTAGGCAAACTAAGGCCCGGGGGCCAAATCCGGCCCAATCACCTTTTAAATCTGGCCCGCGGACGGTCCAGGCATCAGCGTGTTTTTACATGAGTAGAATGTGTCATTTTATTTAAAATGCATCTCTGGGTTATTTGTGGGGCATAGGAATTCATTCATTCCCCCACCCTCAAAATATAGTCTGCCCCCTCCCCAAGGTCTGAGGGACAGTGGACCGGCCCCCTGCTGAAAAGGTTTGCTGACCCCTGTCCTAAAAGGTTTATCTGTATTATTCCTTAGACTATTGTACATGGTACAAGTGTTATTATGCAATAATACATACTTTAAAAAAAGATAAAGGGGGGAAGGTTTAAATCTCCTTGAGAGTTTCAATGGCCTGAACAGAGCAGC